TATTTGTTGAATTGTTCTGTGAGGGTATATCAAAGGATAAGCTCTTTGATTTACAATAACAAATAAAGAATCAATTCTAAAGGCTGATAGTTTCTAAAGAAACTGTTTGGGGCTGCGTCGGTGGGGGTAACGAAATAATTTGTTTATATCAACAAAGTTGAAATGGTAAATTGACTGACGTTTCGAGCGTTAGCCCTTCGTCGGAGCGAAAGACGAAGGGCTAACGCTCGAAACGTCAGCTTTTGTAATCGTCACAGTGGCCAATTTACCATTTCAACTTTGTTGATATATCCAAAGGAGTCAATTCTGCTAATGGTCTCGTCTCAATAATCAATATTGGAAATCAGTTGTATTCAAGTTTGTCTCATTTAACCAGACAATCATTTTCAACGCAGACAGAATTACTCACACTTTTAAATGTGTTCAAGACAGTGAAACTTCAATACAGTGAAAGTTACACTGGCACTATACATCAAGAAGTTACAATAGAAGGATATCAGTACTGTACCTCCTTAGAAAGAGCCTTTCAATCACTTATATCCGAAAATTTCAACAATTTTGTCTTGACAATAGGGTGTACTGCAGTTGCAATCTGTTGTAAAGGCAATGTTGGCTTGAAAATATTCAATTCTAATGCAAGGGATATTTATGGTAGAAGCCATTCTCAAGGTACATGTGTGCTGCTTGAAGTATGTGACGTTTGTAGTGCTGAATAGGGACCTTAAGATAGAGGTTTTTAGGCATTTCCCGTGAACCGCTAACGTCAAGAGGTCACGTGACCAGTGCCTTGCCGTCAGGTTTGCAGTTTCAGGTTCACGTTTGTACGGCTGGACCACGCTCTAGAGGTAAGCGATTTACCTCTAGGATAAGCTCTTTGATTTACATCAATTCTAATGCAAGGGATATTTATGGTAGAAGCCATTCTCAAGGTACATGTGTGCTGCTTGAAGTATCATCAATGAATAGCTTAGTACATTATTTTCAGAGTCTACATAACAATGATATATTTGAGTTGAAAGGGGTTAAAATTGATAAAATTCAAAATAGTGCCCATTTTCAGTCATCCCTGTGAAACCAGAAAGTTCAATGTGAATTCTGCCGGCTGTGCCTGTTTTTTCACTCTGCTACTCCACAAGAAAATCATGTAGTTATTAGAATTCAAACACTTTATCTAATGTTATTCAGTATGGCAAAACATTATGGAAATTCATCTTTGGACAAGTATTTATTGTCAGATGATTTGCCAAAAACTGATGTTTGTGGAACTGAAGTAAGTTTAGATCTTAAAAGTGATTACAGTGAAGGAATATTGTCAGATTCAGTTGAAAGCAAATCAATTCTCGAAAATCTTGTAAGAAATAACAGTTGAATGCACAGGGCTTTTGATGTGGTTTTCAGATTTTTGTATGACAGGTATTTTTAAACCCACAAAAAGGTCAAAATCTGTGTATTCCCTTTTGGTATGTAATAAAAGTCAAATGCCTCTAATTGAATATACTAAAACTGTAAATAGCACTGCTTCTCTTGTTGTGGCCATCAGCAGTATTCAATATTCAGATATATATATATTTTTTTATCAAAAACAATTAGATGAACTATTGAACAGTAATACTGCTTCAATCTACTAATTTCTTACAACTCTCCTTTGGTGAACATTTGGCAACAAACTATGACTTGGTACCAATAATAGATAAAAAATTCCCTGCTCCTTGCAGTTAAAGACAAATACATTCACCTACTCAGGGTTCGTAAAATCCTTGAAAGTCCTTGAAGATGCTTGAATTTAAAAATTAAAAACTCAAGGCCTTGAAAGTACTTGAATTTGAGGACTAAAGCTTGATTTGTGCAATGCTTATTCTTTAGCAATTTTCAAG